TGTAGTGTCCTTGAACATTTTGAGCAGCAAATAACTTCAGAATGTGGCTACTTACAGCAGGGTCGCTATTGCGTAAGAATTTTTCGTTTACCTTCTTCGCTCTCGTCTTCTGCTACCAACACAGCGCGTGGCAATATTATTTCTCATCATTCGTCTCGCATAAAGGTCTCTCTCAGCGACAGGGAAAGTGTGGCTTCGGGAAAATCAATGACGAAGAACAAAAGAATGAAATTAAAAAAACCTGTTGCGCAATAGGCATCCCGAAATTGCCAAAAAAGCTGTCCGACCTTACTGCAAGCTTCAGGCAACTCACCCTATACTGACAACATTTCCGAGGAATACGGGATGTCTACGCAGCGCAAGACGGTATGTAACATCGCCTACTCCGTCGCGGCCGCAGTTACTTGTGCTCGTCGTGTCGTCAGATGACCCCAGCTGGATCAAGAAGCGATATTAACTGAGAGAGGTAATGAGAAACCAGGCTAAGATATCTGGGAGGAATATTGCAAATTGCTCTCTCAGGCCTATGGTCTTAATTTTCAGATCGTGAATACTACGTGCCACCGGTGACCGCCATAGCAAATACTTTAACGCATCATGCGATTTTTTTTCTGTGTTCGTACGTTCCGCCATCTGTTGTAAAAAAATGCCATCATATTATTTACCCTGTGTAGCCGTGGGCCACTGAGGACTGCACGGAAATCATCTCACAGAAAAAAGGCAGCTAAAAGAGGCACATTTGTCACCGTACCGAGTGGCCAGACTGCAACACCCTTCAGAAAAGTAATCTTGAACGCTGTAGTGACTGAGCGAGAGAAGTCAGAAAAATAAACAGGTTACCAAAAGGAAGTGTCCGGTGGCTACCCGCACGGTGCAGGTGGTTCGGCGATAAGAAGAGTACTGTGGGCGGAGAGAAAGAAAGACGAACACTAACAATTTAACGGCGCTCACTGAGCAGGGGTAACAACAGACGACATGAAGGCCCGTTGACTTCAGAAATATACGTTTAGGACGAATGACGTCTTCCTGCGCGGAATTTCTTCCAGGGCACTGCCCTAGCGTTTTTCGTTAAGATATCAGAACACTGTCTGGTATATGTAGCAATGTGCGCATCACCTGCCTCTCAGCACGGTGACCGTGGACAGGCACAGATAACTTATCCACGGCTCGTCGCAACCACATGTTTCACACGTGGTGCTATCGGCCATTCTAATGAGGAATGCTTATTTCCGCCACCGGAAATAAAAAGACACAGAACCGCGTTGCGACAAGCAAAGAGAATATCCGTATTCGGGGATCACAAGAGCAGGCGCACCAACAACGTTTTCCTCAGAGACAGTGGTTGGCTTTTATCTACTTATGTTGAGCATTACTATCAGCCTTCTCGAAATTCAAGTTTATACTTACGTCTACTCACACCTATTCTTTAAGAGTAATATCAATCATGCACGATCTCAATATTTATTGATCAGAGGCGTGAATTATGTAAGGGAGTGCCTTGACATCTCCCCCCCCCCTCTAACACGTCCACGGAAGTTTACAATATATATATATATACATATATATATATATATATATATATATATATATATATATATATATATATATATATATATATATATATATATATATATATATATATATATATATATATATATAACAGACAATAATACCAAGGAAAGTATAGGGGACGATATAAGACTGAATTAGACCGGGGAAGATATTCGGTCTAATATCTTCCCCTATACTTCCTTGGCATTATTTTCTGTTAGATCTCATTATTATCGTGTAAAACACAGAAAAACGAGCCCTGAAGTATACACTTCTTTCCTTACTATATATATATATATATATATATATATATATATATATATATATATATATATATATATATATATATATATATATATATATATATATATATATATATATATGTGTGTGTGTGTGTGTGTGTGTGTGTGTGTGTGTGTGTGTGTGTGTGTGTGTGTGTGTGTGTGTGTGTGTGTGTGTGTAGTGAGACACTTTAAAAAAAATGTCATTCGGAAATTGCAACCACTCACAACTCGATTTTAAGGCACGATATCAAAAGGCGCCATGTGATTGCGGGATTACGAGAGAGAGGCATTGGCGTTAAAGAGCAATCACACCGCAGTCAAAAAAGCTCATTCAAGGCTAAAGGACTCAAGATTCGACTCAATCAGACTCACTCAAATTCAGATCGAGCTGTATGTCTGAGTGAGTCCGAGTGAGTGATAATTTGGTGTGGCTGAGTCCGCGTGAGTCCAGTAGAAGAGTGCTTGAATGAATCTGAGTTTGGGGTGAGTCCAGTTGAGGAACATTCTGGATAGTCTGACCCCGAGTGAGCCTTAAGCAGTAAATATATTGAACGAGAAAATCTGACTGAGGTGCACAATTTTTGGCGATCTGTGGCGGTTGCGGCTCGTGTTCGCCACTTCGCTCTACTCTTGATTTCATCTTTTAGTCATGACAATAACAGTTCGCAATTGCGACGCTGAGCCACATATGGTATATGATAGCCTATTAGCACCGTGGTAACCCAGGCGATATGTTCTAGATCCAGGGCTAACGAACCTAAATGACCCACGTTGAAGTTCTTATACAGGCAAATGAGGTAAATACATAACTACATCCATAGAACATCACAAATCGCAGCAGAACGCGCCCGTCAGTCAATCTAGTGCGCACCTCGCGTTCTGCCTCCTGCGCCGCTTTGTTGGCGGGGTCATATTCCTGCTGATATGCAGTACCATAGAACCCATTTAAAATATTCCAGGTTCCTCGTGATGGTCGTAGTTACACGCCTGTCGAAACACCTATATTGGTTGCTCATTTTGTTCATCCCGTATTGCGTTTGAAATGCTGTAAATGATTGTCTTGGAGTCAAAAAAAGCTGTGCAATGTTACGTTGGTTCCCGACATGCAAATTGAAGTGTAGCACAGGGTGCAACGAGCTCTGCGCCACTTGATTTGTTCACATGTATGATCTGTTCAACAATTTTTTATTAGATTTCACCGGAACTTGAGGCAGAGCAGAGATGTCGCCCCAGCAATTTTATCGACATGATTGATATATACAACATAATTCAGATGCCGTATAAATTACCTTTAAAGTGAGCATGCTAGCACTCTCCACAAACTGTGACGAATTGCCGGCTCTAAGCAATTATTCATCCACACACACGATACATTAACTCACCAGCATTCACACTAAGCGAAGTGCCTTAAACAGTGAAGCCAGCTATATGAAGGACATACTGGATCCTCTTTATCGAGGGTAATTATACGCGGCTGTAATAAATGAACAGAAATAACTGTATGTCAGTAGACAAATGTGGATAAAAATAAAGATACTAGCTGAAATATGAGCTTTAATGAGCACCGTTTTTGAAATAGTACTTAAAAATTAGGATATATATATATATATATATATATATATATATATATATATATATATATATATATATATATATATATATATATATATATATATATATATATATATATATATATGCGTAGTGTAGCAATTATGACTTAAATGGAAAAAAATTAAAGTGGGCGAAGAAAATAACTTGCTGTTGGTGTAGTCCTCACGTACCAAGTTTACTGTAGTAATGTTGGGATGTATGACCTTCGAATAAAATTTGTTTTCAAATAAAAGCTCACGTTCTCAAGCGCTCTCAATCCCATATCGACCTGTTTGGCTGATGCAATACACCCTCGCATTTTTAATAACGTTCGTGAGCTGCTCTTGCTGGGACATGGTTGCACCTATTATTGGCGGGTAGTACAGAGAAAGGCTACGTTATGCGCGAGTGCACAACGCACGCTTGCTCATCGTGCAGCAGACAGTGTTGTTTTTCGCTATTATTAGGCATTTTTGCGTGATCGCTAACGCAATATTGTTTTTTTTTTAATGCGATGGTGTACATCAGGCCGCAGTTAAGTGAAATATGGCACACGGTGTCAGCCGTTCATGGTGTCGATGCAGTCGATGTAGCATGCACCACTTACAAACAAGGTCATCTGCATCCCATCCTCAAGCAATGCCTCACATGAAGCATTTGAGGTAATAATAATAATAATATTAATAATGATAATAATAATAATAATATTAATAATAATAATAATAATAATAATAATAATAATAATAATAATAATAATAATAATAATAATAATAATAATAATAATAATAATAATAATAATAATAATAATAATAAAGCGCTGGCCTGCAGTTGCGTTTAATACAGCTTAAATGCCTTGGCTGATACAAACACGAACAAGATTAAATACGTGAACGTGCACAGAGAGCGAGTGGCATGCGGTATAGAGTGTAAAATGGGTGTTCTAAAATGTACAGTGAGAGATACACTTAGTTAGACAAGGCTTCAGAGACCAGTTGTAAGAGACTGGTGTCGATGACCCTCACAAAGTCGGGATTGGTGGTTGTGCCATTTCTCGAATCGAACGCGCTCGCACGCTTTATGGCAAAAGCGTCGATCGTCTCATTTGCTTTCAGCAAGTGCCTCATGGGGCAGACATCATAGTTTACGACGGCATGCCCTGAATATGGAATGTAGACATTCCTTAGGAATGTCTACTGAGACCTCTTCTGGTAATGAAGCACTCGCATCTCATCGAAACCACTGGGACACCTAGTTTTCAATGAAAGTGCCGCATGTAGCTCTTGCTGAAAGCTAATATACCGGTATACAGTCATATAGGTCATGTGACAGGGCTTGTTGGTACTTTTTATGTGCTGCAAGCAACACGATCAGCCCTTGTATGCAAAGGTGTTTTCTCGCAGACGCCCATGGCTGGGGACTGCTGTCGACTGCTGCTGCTGCTCATACTGGGGGTCCCGCTGTGGCTGCCGCCGGCCAGCGGCAACAGCAGCTGGGGCTCATGGGTGGGCCGGGGCCTGCCGCGCACAGCCGAGTCACGCGCCGAAGGATTTGTGCGCTGCCCGACGCTGTGTGTCTGCCAGGCGGTCAACCGGGGTAAACGGATCACCTGCGACCTCGGCGGAATGCGCTCGATACCGACTCAGCACATGGACAAGGACATCCGCGTGCTGCAGATCACCGCGCCATCAGAGCACCCAAATGAACTCATCATCGGAAGGATATTCCTACAATTTACTGCTCTCGAAGAGGTGAGCGCACGCGAAGCTGCAGGACAATGCTTGTTATGATTCCGATTCGATGAGAGGTGACCCTGCTCGTACCTACAGTTGACAGTTGATGACACACAGAGAGACCACAAATAATAAATAAAAATGAATGGAGTGCTTGCAGGTGCAGCACCGAATGGTGCAGCACCGACACTTAATTTCTCGCAATTTTTGCTTCTCTGAATCGGATAAAGTGACTCACACTTGACAATTACAATGATGAAACCATTTAATGCGTGGAGACTGAAATTGAGAAGCCATTTTACGTATGTTCTGGCATCTACAAATGGCGTAGCTTTATTAGAAAAAAAATACCTTTGAAAGGTATTTTACGTAACCACATTAATTACCGCACACCAATGCTCAATGTGGGTAAAATATAACAAGCAGTCTTTACATCTGTAACACAATAAAATATCCTGCTTTTAGACGGACCTTCAAGGATGAAAAAATTTAGTTTCACTCATACAACTTTTCACTTGAGTATCACCAACTATATATTTTATCGGAAAAGCGTTTGAGTGGTGAGAGGTTTGATGTTACTACGGGAGAAAACACGCACAGACAGACAGACAGACAGACAGACAGACAGACAGACAGACAGACAGACATATTTAACAATATAGCTTCCCTTGCGCAAGGTTCTGTTCATACGAGAATGAGTTTCCATTTCCAATATTTCTGCGGATTCTCACTTTCAAAACATGGCTGCAGACTTTCGACTGAAATTGTGGCTGTTCGAAAAAATGACTTATCATCATCACTAGAAATAATACCTTCATCACAAACATCGCCACCAATAGTTAATTATGTCCTCAAATAAGACAAGGTAATCATTGGGAAACATGTGAGGTCTATTAGATGCGAAGCATTTCTCGCTCGGTTCTATGTCTTGCGGCGTCAGCGTCCACACTCACGCTACGCATGCGCTACTTCTTTCCTCTCCTGCGCTCTCCTCTCTCCTCGCAACACTGACGCAGGGAGCGTCTGTTAACCTACGCTCACTCCCCTCTCTCCTCTAAGCATTCTTCTTCACGGCGTCTACGCCGCCATTGCGCATGCGCGTCTCTTCCCCTCTTTCTCCTCTCCTACGTTTCACCTCTCTCTCATCGGAATGTCCATAGACTGTCGCGCCACCTAGCGGAATTCAGGAGCGTCCTCTCCAGGATGATCCAAAGGCAGGCGCTCCCTTTTTCGGCTGTGCTATAGCCCCAGTGTTTATTAGCCAATTCTTAGCTATTATTATTAGCCAATAAACATTAGCCAATGCTGCACCACTTGATTTTAACGTCCATTGATAGATAGCAGCACTCTGCGAGCAATTCCTTCCTTGCCGTGTATCGGAGCGAATTGTTGTCCGCCATCTCCACGCCCAGATAAACATGTAGAGCAATGCCGTGTTGGTGTTGTGCGTGGTGAGTGGCGCGTTGTTGAACGAAGTCGTTCGGTGGAGAGAATCTCTCAGATTACTTTTAGCAGTTGTGTTAAAAAATTGGCCCCGTATCTGCATTTAATCTGCAAATGTCGTCGAAAGACGATAGTCTTGCGTGTGGAGAGAGTGAACAAAACATTTATTTGATGTGCTGCTCAAGAATATCGGTGAATTGTATTTTGGAGGCGCTGCGTTAGGGTGCCTCGAGCGTGCAGTGGAGACGAACGAGCGCATCAAGTCACGTCGTGAGACATGAGCGCCATCTGGCAGTTTTTTTCATAGACAAACCGCGTGGCTCTGAGACGGGTGTGCGCGCCCGCCTCAGAGGTGATAAGGTGTAGAACGCAAGGCGACGAGTAGGTGCCACCACCATCTCATTTTAGCAAAGCGTTGGAAACACTCGCCTTTCCGTGCAAGCGTTGGATTGTCAGCGCAGCGTGATAAGCGCTACAGTCCTTAAAATTACTTATGTATGCCTTTTCTAGTAAAAGGCGCACATGCAGAATATATACGTGTTGTTATGGTGCCCCAGACACGCACAATAATTGCTTTTTAATCGACAATAGCAAAAGTATGAACGCTGAATCTTGAGCCACATAGGTGGGCGCTGCGGATGGGGTCGGCCGTTTCAAATACCCGATGCTGTTAAGAGCGGACCAACAAACACATGTACAGACAGAGACCAAAGTTTTTGCGTCGAAGATCCCCAAGAACGACTATCGGCCGCATGCCGCCAACGCACTATAGCTCGACCAGCGAAGCGAAATGGCTACAGCAATGAAACGTGCAGTTACGAATACAGTCCACGCCTCTCTGCTAAATTCTCCTGCACTTCATTGGTACCGTCAGAACGGCGTTGTTGTTCGACCAATTTTCAGAATTTGAACGTTGCGAAAAGCATACGCGTGTACTTGTTTCGATATCTTTATTGCGATCACGCTGATGAAAACTGCAGCATCTGAGTGCAGTGAATTGCTGCGCACTGTCAAGAGTTTGATCATGGCTCTGACACAAGCGCTACTTATTGGTAAGGTAAATGTTTGTGTTCTGTTGAAGAAGCAACCCCATATTGCTTACAGTGCAAGTAATGACGATAGCGAATATGTTTGCAAAGCTTCGCTACGTTAAACATTAGGTCCCGGGAAGCCGTGACGACGTGGTATACTCGTTGGCCACCATTGAGGCAAGTTCGTTGGGCAGACTCGGCACAAATTATCCCGAAGTTTTGTTCAGTTCATACGTCAATTCAAGTTCGCACAGTTTCCTGTAGCACGCACAGGATTACGCAAAGGATTGTTGATTTACGGACGATCAGCTGACACCACCACCCTTCGCACTGCGGAATGAAATGAGGTGGCGAACATTTAGCAGTTCCTAATGTTTGGGAAAGTACTTTCGTCCAATATACATTCATTCGACGATCAAGCGGTCATCCGGTGAAAGCCGTATGGAGCGCACGTCCGTGCGTCCTGTCTTTTTCTGTGCGAGTTCACGGGTTCATCATCCTCCCGCAGCCATCTTGGATTGCGCGGCGTGCCACGTATAGAGCGTGGGAACTGCGTATAGGGAGTTGCTTGATTGAAAAAAAAACGACAACTCACGCTGCACAACCGTTCGTTAGCCACCTCGTATATATAGGCACTGCATCTTGACCTCCAAAGAAGGGCCGGGGGAGATTTCTCCTGTGCGTTGTTGAACAATGAAAATTCTCAGCATACGTGTCTCTGTGTGCAATCTGAGGGTTTTGTCTCTCACTGTTCATTAGTAGCAATTGGCATGATCCAGTAGGAAACACCGGTACAAAACTGCGTGCTTAGCGCCTCCCCAGGTTTCTTCCCTGCACATCGCCGTGATGAGCGCCAGCGTCAACGTCGCCGCCAGTGTAGGCGTTAGCGCCCACTGCTTCGCATATACAGATGGTTCTTTTTTTGTGTGTGTGTGACTGAAGTATTAGTGAAATTCTCAGTTCCAAGATTTAAGCTACATCAGTGTGTTTTTGCCCCCCCCCCCCCCCCAAAGAAACATTAGCAGCTGTAGGGGGTATGCTCTGAGCCTTGATCCGCAAGGAGCCAGCGCTACCGCTACGCCACTTTGAAGGCGCCTCTGTACGCATGTCCTGCTGTCCGTGATTCGGCGTGCACGGGGTGTTCTTGAGGTTTTAGGACATCAAAGTTGCCGAACGGATCTCGAACACAGCAGCGACTCGAACAGTGCAGCGACTTCTTTGCGCGTGCATGGGGCGAATGCGTGGAGCTCTAAAATGGCCACGCCGACGTTAGTGATCCACGCGGATGACGTCCACTGCATACCACGTATAGAGAAGTTCCATCAATCGAGACATCGCAACAGAATCTAAGCATTTAATTTACGACATGAAAATGCCTGGTGGAAATGGTTTTATTTTCGATATCATTATCAAACGCGTTAATCTAACTTCTCGGGGTTTGAAATGCTGCCTTGTTCCCTCGCATATATATTGTTTCCTGTCAAATCATACGCGAAATAAACGTATAGCATATTTCACTTGTTTGTCACTGTGAGCAGCGCTCGATAGGTGGCGCACCAAAAAATGCGCCTTAGAGTTACTGTATATGCTACCTTTACGTAGCATATAGAGTAACTTTAGGGGGGCTGGCGGTGAGTCGCGACACAACTCAGCCACTCTACCCCACACAACCAGCCGCAGTACCAACGTGCCTGCGCCGTTGCCGTGCTTGATTTTGTAACGAACTGCTCGAGCAGTCGTTGTGCCTGTATATAATGCACCAAGATTCAGTAAAAAACAACTTTGTCAAAAGGCCACTCTCTTTCTCTCACACACACACACACACACACACACAAAAAAACACTGGAAAACTGAGGGAACATCTACAAAGTGGGCAGCATATATACATACGGCGTCTAAGAGACAGTGCTCTGCCGTGATGCCGACTACCTCGTAAGTATTTCCTGGTTGCGTGCTGGCTTTTGTGTTAGACGTGTGCAGGCTGGCATACACCCATTTAAAAGTCCGTGCTGCGGCGATACCACACTGCCCCTTTCTGCAGTTAAAGAACAAAAAAAGAACAGAGCAACTGATGGCTGCGTTCCTTTCTTTTTGCTGGCATAGTATGCACGCCATGTCCGAGATATGTATGCACGTGGACGTTGATAAAGCAAATGGCCGTTGTTGCATAGCACGTGTGATGTCGCGCTGCCGCGCATGGTTTCCCCGCCGCGGTGGTCTAGTGGCTAAAGTACTCGGCTGCTCACCCGCAGGTCGCGCGATCGAGTCCTGGCTAGTAGAACGTACTCTGCTCGCCTGACTGCCTGGATGCGGCGCCACCTCCGTTTTTGTAAATACGATTTACAAAGTCAAATGTAGAAGGCTACCTCATTCAACATGTATACGTATCGTGTCACTTGAATGCGCAACTCCACCACCAGCACCCTTTCGTTTTGCTTCGGCCATCCGCGTCCATACCCCCTCTATACCAGGGTGGTGCTGCCCGTGCCACAACAGCTTCAGCGCTGGTTCCCTATAGTCGGATATACCTTAAGAAACCCGGAGAGGCCGCGCACAGATGACGAAAGCACGTGAGCCGGTCGCCTCTGCAACTGAAGAAGTAGTCCCGCCAATGCACTCAAGTTCTCTAAAGGTGGGCTCAACAGCCACCGGCCTGTGACGTCAGCCCTAAGTACGCGTCAATTTGTACAGGCTTGTATACATCCGCATTTCAGGAGCAAATGCCACAGAATCCTAAAGTTACAGCATAAAAAATAACCACATATAGGTGGCACACCAAGTCACCTAAAGATAAAGTAACTTCTCTTCTGCACAGCTGAAATTATAGAATAGTTAGTTCAACAAGACTATACAGCAACAATTAGACACACCAACATTGACCATCGAATCAGAAAACCTTTATATAGACAGGGGAGGCTCCTGCTGAAAGCCTAATAATTGCGCAAAGTCGCAAGGGGATAGGTGATGGTATGTGCTCGGGCGCTTGTTGTGCAGCTCATTTGCCAACGCAGCCCGTGAGGCGCTGAAAACACCACTATATCACCCGTCTTAGAAAGATCTTCCTTTCGCTCTCTTTTTTACATTTTAGGGTATAGCCCGCTTGATGCCTTTGTATTGACCCCTACATTCCTTCCTTGCAGGTGCGGATCACGCGCTCAAATGTGCCGGCCATCGGTGACAGTTCTTTCTGGCCAGGAAAGAGGTTACAAATACTCGACCTGAGCCACAACAACATCAGCATCCTTCGCGACTCTGACTTCCGTGGCTTGTCGGAGCTGCGACTGCTCAACCTGAGCCACAACCACATCGCGCGGGCGCCCTCGGCGCCTTTTCGATTCCTCTCCAACTTGACGAGCCTCATCCTGTCGGAAAACAAGCTAGAGGCACTGGCACCTCGCTTCCTTTACCTGTTGCCGAGGCTGCAGAGACTCGACCTGAGCGGGAACCCCCTCAGGAGCCTCGACCCAGATCACCTGAAGGACGTGCGGCCACTGAGAGTTCTCGGCCTGGCCCGCTGCCAACTCACGAGGCTTCATTCGCTCATCTACCAGCACCTGTCGAACCTGGAGTCCCTAGACCTGCAGGTCCGTGTTTCGCACATGCTAGTCCACCAAAAGTGGACAAATATTTTCGAATTTTACAGTGGATATCTTTCCAAAATATTATCTTGTATACTCTCACAAAACAACTGCTGCCCCTTCTACGGCTATTAATCTACTTCATTAAAAAGAAAGTGGTTGTATATTTATTAATTGAAGGAAGACGTTGGTGCAATACATATATGAGTGTTCTACGTAATATTTATTTAGTTAAGTTACTGAGCGAACCATGAATTTTACGTGAGGTTCCGAAGCTTGAAATTGTACCAATTCTCGCAACTTTTCATGCAAGCTGAAGGCTGTATGTAATCCATCCGCCATAACCATTTATGTGGCTGAGGGGTTGCGCTGCTAATCTTGAGGTCGAATATTCGCTTCCTGGTCATGGTGGTAATGGCGGTATTTAAACCGGGGGAAAATACAGTACTATCTGTGCACAGTAAAGAGCCACAGTGGTGAAACATACTCTGGAGTCACTTCCCGAGGCGTGCCTCGCAATGATGTGTTTTTGGTGCGTAAAACTCTAGTGATTGATAATATTGAAAGATTTAAAGCAAGTTCCTCCTATATATAGCCTTCAAATAATTTTTTACAAGCATAACAATTACCAATAATATTTGTTTCAACTTTTTAAAGTTCTTTGCTTTATTTTGTAGTTTTATATAGTAGCACAGCGAGACCTGCCTCTTAAGCAAAGGAGACCGGATCGTACCAGCTGTTGTATAATGCGTAATCGTCGTTTAGAATTCTTCGACATAGAGTTTAAAACCTTAACTGCATGATGCCGAATAGCGAGAGTCCGGGTCGTGTAAACTAAATTGTCTACAGTTGATAAACATGACATCTATTGTGATAATTGAGGTTGTAAGTCATAGTGAGTCCCGGAAACGTTCTTTGCTAGTGCTAATGCACTTGCTTCTAAGCTTTTCCAGAAGCGTAGTAATAATTTGACACGTCACGCAGGACAACCAGCTGATCAAGTTGGCGCCCGAAGAATTTCGCCATTTGCGCAAGCTGCGGGTGCTGAAGCTGGACGGCAATCGGCTGGAGAAAATACCCGAGCGAGTACTGGACGGCCACTCGCTCAGCCAGCTGGGTTTGTCCCGCAACCAGCTGCAGTCGCTCGACCCCTGCGCCTTCTGCAACGCGTCCGTCGAGGAGCTGGACCTGTCGCGCAACAGGCTGCAGTCGGGCGAGGGCGACCCACTTCGGCCCCTCGCTTCGTCACTGGACCGGCTAGACCTGAGCTGGAACCCGCTGTCCGGCGACGCCGCCGCCGCTCTGGTGCGCTCCCTCAGGCGCCTCAGCGTGCTCCGCCTCGAGGGCCTCGGGCTGCAGAGCCTGCCCTCGGATACATTCAGCGGCGTGCGCACCCTGCGGGAGCTGGGGCTGCGACACAACCGCTTCAGCAGCCTTCCGCCAGGCCTCCTGACGCCCCTCAATTCACTCGAGGGCCTGGACCTGGCGTTCAACCGTATGCGCGGGGTGGCGCCCGAGGCGGTGCGCGAGCTCGACTCGCTGCCTGCGCTTTCGCGGTTTACGGCGCATGACAACCCGTGGCAATGCAAGGAGTGCCAGGTGATGGAGCTGTCACGCTGGCTTGCCGAGCGGCCACTCGACTGTGGTGGTCCTTGCCCCACGTGCGCTGGCCCGTCCAACTTGGCCGGACAGTCACTCGCGTTTCTGCCCGTCCACGACCTAGAGCCCTGCCGGGAACCCCTCGTCCAGCGGCGCCTCTCGCGGGCCGAGTCCCAGGTAAGCCCGGCCCCCCTCTTTGTTGCCAAAAAGATCATTGTAACAACCCTAGAGGATCTCACACGTGAAGGCGCCATTGATTCAAAGCTTAAAAAGACACTTATTATGGTACATTCGGCGCCTGGTCGTTTTTGTATACATGCTGCCGAAGATTCATAAAGAGAATAACCCTGGCAGACCCATTATAGCGGGCACGGGAACGTTAACGGAACCCATTTCCAGTTATATTGATTCTTTAATCAAAGACATACCACCCACACATGAGTCCTTCTTGCGTGACACAAACCATTTCCTTCGGGAAATAGCAGACGTGAAAATTCCAGATGGTGCATTTCTCGTAACATTGGATGTTAGCTCACTCTACACAAATATCCCACATGACGATGGTGTAAGGGCGCTTGTTGAATCGTATGGCACACACAACCCTGTCGCTTATCCAAGCAGAAAAGTAATTGAAATCTTCACAAGACTTGTACTCAAATTGAACAGCTTTGAATTTAACGACCAGTACTACCTTCAAATCAGTGGCATGGCAACGGGTACAAGAATGCCCCAAACTACGCTAACATATTCATGCACCACATAGAGTCCAATTTTCTTTCATCTTGTGATATCAAACCATTATTCTGTAAACGGTACCTAGATGATATATTCATTATTTGGACACATTCGGAAAACGAGCTCCTCAAATTCATTCAGGCATTCAACCTGGTACACCCCAGCATTTATTTTACACACTCTTACTCTAACACTGAAATAAACTTTCTTGATGTACTCATTCGAGTTGACGATGGTGCGTTGGTAACTAGCGTATACAGAAAACCTACGGACAGGCAACAATACCTGCACTTCAAAAGCTGCCACCCGTGACATTGCAAGACCAGCATTCCCTATTCCCAAGCACACAGATTCCGACGAATCGGCTCCCGCACCGAGGACTTCCACAAAAACAGCACACATATGCGCGAAGTACTCCTTAATCAAGAATACCCGCCAGCTATCATCGATGACGCCATCAAAAAAGCTGAAACTCTGGACCGCCAGACTCTTCTCAACCACCAGAAAAACGCCGACCAACACCGCAACAAAAACTTGCTACTAAATTTCACGAGCAACCCACCGAACATAAACAAGGTCCTAAGAAAACACTTTAACATATTGGAACAGAGTCTGCGACTATCCTAAATTTTCACTTCTCCTCCTTGTGTTGTATACAGACGGCCGAAAAATATAAAGGATCATTTAATAAATTCAAAGATAGGTGTGAAATCTCAAATCGGGTGTCACCCTTGCGGAAAAAGCAGATGCAAGGTATGTAAACACATGCAAACAACGACAGTGGCGAAAAGCACCCACTCGGATTTTGAGCACAGGATAAGAGGTGCACTAGACTGTGACTCAGACAACGTCATATACCTCCTGGAATGTGGGGTATGTAACAAGCAATACGTGGGCCAGACAGACACTCCGTTTAGAATTAGATTCAACAACCATCGGGCACATGTGCGATCTCTGCCAGGCCTTCCACTTTCAAAACACTGCACATTAAAAGACCACAGCTTTGATGACATCAGGGTTACACTACTAGAAAACAACTTTCGAACAAGAGAACGGGAACAACGGGAATCTTATTTTATCTACAAATTTACACAATAAAATACGGAATAAATGAACACCCAGGCACTCTGTCAGCGTTACGACCGCTAAAAGACGCAAACGCTTATCTCAAATCAGTCCGGTTTCATTACGACAATACTATTACCCGCTAACAAAGCTTTTAGCCTATGCATCTGACAACATGTAAATGATTTGCCTCATTAAGCACAGCCGGAACGCACAGATAAGTGGTCCCGGATGTCGTACGGTCCCCCCCCCCCTTTTTTTCTTTTCTTTTTTTTTGCTCTTTAAGTTTTAACGCACATTCCGTTCCTTCACTGACAAGGAGCTGACAGCTAGGCGGTTTCGTTAACTTTTTCATACATGCGCGCATGTCTTCTCAGTGAGCCGCAACTGTGTGGTGACTGTCCCAGATGTCATACAGTCTCCGCCCCCCCCCCCTGTTCTTTTTTTCTTCTTTAATTTTTAACGCACATTCTGTTCCTTCACTGACAAGGAGCCATTGCATATAATGAATATCAATGGCGGCGCCTCAATCACAGGCTTTTTCATTCCTCCCGACGCCACCAGCACGCACTCGAAGCGCTTAAGCTCTCCCCATCAACTTGTCTTAAGCTTCAAAGAGGAACGAGCCGCCAGCGGATTACACGGAAAGGTGAAATACAAGAACGGCGGCACACTGCCCACTTGAAGAAGAGTGGGTGCGGGGGAGGTATTGTTGACAATGATGGCATTGCTCATCTACCTCTGCCCTACTCTGTTAAGATGCTGCCCCTTTCTAATTACGCCATGTCGGTCTTGCTTCTTCTCCTAGATTTTCTATATTTTATTTATTGTTTCTCCTCCCATTTCGCTGTTTCTTGTTTTTTTCTCTCTCTGTTTTCTTCTTTTTTTACTTTTCTTTTGACCCTTTCCCTCCTTTCTCGACAGGCTCCAAGAAGACACGGAACATGTGTAAATATTATTATGCCTTGAAAAAGACGGGGTTCCCGTCGAAACGTCGGCAAAATAAACAGTTGTTATGTGAAAGCGCATCTATTTATATATATATATATATATATATATATATATATACATATATGTATAAAAGGGAAAGAAGTGTATACCTAAGGGCTCGTTTTTCCGTGTTTTAACACAATAATAATGAGATCTAACAGATAGTAATGCCAAGGAATGTACAGGGGAAGTTATTAGAACCAATGGAAAGTAAATAAGAAGAAAGGAAAGTGGACGAAAAAATAACCAGCCGTGAGCAGGAATCGAACCTACGACCTTTGGATAACGCGTTTGATGCTCTAACCACTGAGCTACCACAGCGGCCTTCCCTCAATCCACTTTTTTTGGGTTTATATGTGAATTTAGAAGTAGGAGTGACAGTCAGCGCCATCTATAAGCCAAGCGACGAGTGTGAAAACACTCTTTTATGCGCATGTTTGGCGTCATGTAGCACGTGAACTTATTATGAGCGGGCAGCTGATTAATAGTCCCTCGTATACAACCTAATGAGACACCAAGTGTGCCAGTACGAGACCCTCGTATATATATATATATATATATATATATATATATATATATATATATATATATATATATATATATATATATATATATATATATATATATATATATAAAGAGAGAGAGAGAGGTGACACTGTGTCAAGTCTGAGCTAACTCTTTCGCCACAGGTTTATTGCTACACTTTGAGAGCGCATGTTCATGTCGAATATCACAGCACTTGCCGACTATTAATCGCGACAATATGTGTCTAGTGCAATTGAGGTGTTTTCATTTCAGGTGACGCAGTAATCCGTGCGAAAAAGCGAACGTGTGGAGCCGTGATGCAACGTTGTGATACTACGAGCCGTGATGCTGGGCGTGTGTGGGTTCAGACGGTAAAAAAGAAAAAAAAAGAGATTTAGTAGAACAAACTGGGAACATCTATTCCTTGTTCACATAACAGGGGTAGTGAGTGACTTGAGCATTCGGTTATTCAGATGATCAAGGAAGTAAACGGTTTGGCTTTTTTTTTTAATATTAACATAATTTATACGATTCCTAAAATTACCTTATGTCCAGAGAGCTGCTAGATTGACTGGCATGTTTTGTTGTGTTTTGTTTTTAATGCAAAAGTGTTGTTCTAAGAAAGTCGTATGGGTTCCTACTTAGCATCGTGCTTCAGTCATTATTTATGATGAAGTTTACCTTACGTTGAAAGCCCATGCGTGGAGATAGTTTGTTATGTCTGTCAAGCGTGCACTAAAATAATCGTACACCTTATTTGTCGAAAACATCTATATGCCAACTAAAATAAAGACGCACACGTTGTAGGTAAGCGTACAGATGCCAGAGACAAGATTACTGTAACCTGGCGCAGGTGGGACTCATCGTGGCCATCATCATCATCATGTTGCTGGTCACGGTCATTGTGGCCACAGTGGTGATCTACAGGCGCCAGGGCGCAGTGTACTACACGCACGAAGACGACCGGCGCATGTCCTGCACCGACGTGAAGCGGCCCTCGATCGTGGCCACGCCGCCTGCCGACGACATCAAGGACTGCGCCAAGATAGCCGCCTGCTGAAAGCGCTTCGAAACGGCTCGTGCTCTTTGTGATAGCCAGCCGTGCCAGCATCCAGGACAGTGCGCAGAAAGCACAGGCTGTGTTCCCTAAGTCAGCTAACGGCTGCCGCTGGCGGTTTCATCCGCCCGCCTACACTCGTTTGTGGCTACCTGCCGAACGGACATTGCAGGAGTTTGCGGCTCCGATCTTCAGCACGCGCATGTACCGGTGGCTAACGCGCATTACAGAAAACGTGGCCGAGGTGCGTGGGACGCTAAAGCAATAGAAGTACCCCCGTATAGCTGCAGAGTGCATGCAGCTGGCAGTCGTGCAAGGTATCATCTTGCTCTCACCCGCAACGTAGTCAGCCCATGTCCGCTGACCTCGACCGGGATGGGTGTTTTCGGTTCCTCGACATACACATAGTCGTGCTTTGTCGCTGTAAGCGACATTGCACCAACCCTTTTGACATCAACTCAGCGTGGGTGCATTATTGGGCATTTCTTTCAAGACAGCTCTATAAACTAGCGTGCCTGAAAAGACTGCTAGCACCAGTATGTTTCAAACGTGTTTTTGATATCGCGCCAAGAGCGAGAGGTTTGCCGCTCCGTTCTAGGCGCAGCTTGGCTTTGTGTGTCGAAATTGCATGTAGTTTTGTTGAGTTATTTTAGCGCCATAACTGTGTCGTTACTTTGTTGCCATATTCACTTTGCATAGCACTGTTGTACAAGAATTCACATTATCAATTTTGTCTCTTACATAAGCGTTCCTGCCCTCATTACAAACAACTGGCTTTTGTGCATTACTGTGACCATTGAGCTGCGTTATTGTGCTTTTGTGCTGTGTAAAGTTGCATGATGGTCGATTTCCCAGGACATGAAACAAAAATTGTTAATGCTGTTTTTTTATCGTAAAAATTAAGCTTGCGACAGAATATTGTGCTATCACTGGATCATATGTATATACCAACTTATACATTTGAACATTCAATGCAAAATCGGCACTATCCGTTTTTTCATGCTTCATCGACCAAAGATACAAATTCCATACTTCATTTTGTTTGTGTAATCAAACCATAGCACACCATATGATTTGTCTAATGCATGTTGCTGCAAATTTTGGGTAAACTGCATCAGTATAAAAGCCTATATGGGAACAAGAAAAGCGGTCATGTATATTACACACTATGCATCACTTATGCGAGGTGACATTCACAACACTGAGCGCCTACCATGTTTAGCGAGGAGATTCTTTAATTAGGAGCATGCCGTTCTTTCAATCACCTTTCACGTCCTATGCAGAATGTTCATCCCTTATTCACCTGGAGACTAATTATATGAATAATGCCGTATCCAAACTACTCTGTAGATATCACACGGCGCCCACTCCTTGCCCCATGCATGGTATCCCTTGAAACCGAGTACTAAGCGCAGAGACGTTTGTGCGAAATTAACGTCGCCATCAAGCGACAGTACATTTTCCTTTATGAGCTGGATACAAGCATTCATTTCCGTTTGCGCACATGAAGTTGTTCATAGTGACGCCACTGTGCTAGACGTTAGCCTGACTGCCAAGTGCACATTCTTATCAATGCACGTAAATAGCAACATGCATTCGGCGAAAGTTCAAGGCCCTTTACAGAGTTCAGGAATTTAACTACTGTGAGCATTGTAATGAACTATTATCGCTTTCGGTGGTCATCTCGGAAGTGCGCAGTTTTCCTGTGTCTTGAAAGCCTTCCATACGGAGGTCTCGGTGCACAAGCGAGACTGTGTGCACATGCACATCAATAGAAGCATGTGCATCATTTTTTTTTTGCTGCATGCAAACTCAATTAGTACAAATTTTTGGTCAGTTTAGCAAACCTCATGGCGTCGCGACGAGCGTGAAATCCGAACTGGTTGGTTGCCCATAATTCTTAAACACTAGAAGCACGTACAGCGCTGCAAATGCTTGGCCACCCAAGGTGCTAGCGTGAGCAATTGCAGTGCACGCGGTCTCTCACATACTCATCTTGTGAAAACAGGAGTGTTTGGAACGTCTGCGTCATATGAGATATGTGGACCTCGGCTTACATACAATATCAGTGCGCTAAATTACCGGCTAAATGCGATGGAACAATTATAAAAACGAATGATTCGCATGCGCTGTATTTGTCCCTGCAAATAGAAGCGGGAATATTATTGAGCATGGGAGTGCACGAAAGAAAATTTACTTTCTCATAACGCTGTTCATGCACATCTATGTGCGCGGATCACTTGCGCAGTTCTCTGACAAACTGCCTTGGTCGTAGCAAATTTATTGTTATACGAACGTAACGATTAGAGTTACGCAACAAGGAAAACACAAAAAGTGCATGGCGACACCTTAAGAGGTGTATGTATGCGCACTTCTCCGGCATGATGTCCACCCCGCGCCGTCGCATCACGTTGCGCTGCGACTGCTCTGTAACACTGCCTGGAAGGTGTTTTACGTATCCACGATTCAAAAGACTTATATATCGCCACCAAATTTTCTGTGGTCATCACAAAAGCATTGCTGTCGCTCCACGTGAAACGTGTGCACTGATCGTGAGTGACATACGCTTTAAATACAAAGTTTCAGAGGCTTTCACTCGGAACATCAGCCTTCAGGGTAAACTCAAATACACATATCTGTGGTTAGGGTTACGACCTCCTTTGAATCCTATGAACTACATCTTAAGCTTCCTCACAAAGATGCTCATCCGCACTAGCATGACAAAAAGATAAATCACAGAACTGAAACATAAAGTCATGTCTACCTTTTTTACCGCCATACTGCGGCCTACCACCATATCAGGCGGCTTTAGGGAACTGTTTATTTACAGTCATGCAAATTACCACCACACATTTAGTGGTCCTTTTGAAGTTTGGATGGTGGTTTTTTATGTCCTTTTTTCTTCCCGCGTTTTTAATTCTTTAATTACAAACCTATTTATACTAGTTGGTTAAACAGGTTTAATGCAGACTACATACACCTTCTAGTATTCATGGGATTTTGTGCTGATCTCTTAAGAGAGGACAAAGAAAAAGTGGTTTTTCGTGGAAAGTTAAGGACGCATGCCATGTAAGAACATGTGAGAAATGGAGCTCAACATGTCTTAGATTACTCTAACAGAAAGGTGTGTCCATTAGATCAGCAAAATATCTTTACTGCTAATAGTTACGCAAATTTTTATTGAAGTCCTCAGGGTCAATTAGCGATCCTACGAGTAATACCAGGATGTTCATTCCCAAGACGAGGTGTCATTTACCATTCCATTACAGCACGTGACGCGTATGTGTTACAGGCGCATACAGTTTCTCAAGGTGAATCTAATGAAGTATCCAATTCAGCCAGCAAGTCTCGTCTCGCCCATATTCGTCAGCCACATAGTAACACTCGAGTGCTCACATTGGAGGTAATGAAGTCATCAACCGGACGGTCATTGAGTCCTGTTTCGAATTTAGTCAACACGAAGACTGCAGTAATCATCAGCTGTCGTCACTCAAGTTATGATTGATGACGAACAGGCGCGTCATTAGCGCTAACCACTGAAGTGGGCTTAACTCGTGAGCGACAGGAGACCGGAAGAAATGTGATATCACTATTTGTGTGTAGATTTCCTTAACTGAAGAAGGGGAAGAAATAAAATAATATGAAAATATTTTTGAAATCTCAGCTGTAGCAACGTAAAAGCGTTTCTATCCTGCAACAGCCAGTATCTGCTTACAGTATTATTAAGTAAATAAATAAACACGTTGCCCTAATAATGGGGACATATCTAGTCCCACCCTGGAAGACACGCAAGAGACGTACCACTCTGAAAGAAAGACCACTTGGAATTCTCTGTCAAGTGTGCACCAGTTCCACTGGATTAGTAAATACTGAATACTCCATTCGGCAACTCCAAAGAAAACTGTACAGGAAACGCGAGAATGCACGGAATGGATTGCAGGTCTATACCTGCGAAAAGCCTACCAACTGCTCGCAAATCTTGTAACCTTGATTCGAGTCTCCGGACCATTCACCCTTAAGAGTGCAAGAAAGCTGGAGAGCATAGCGGACACCCCTGGAAGCTTGTTTTGATCCTTGCTTATCTGTCATTGCACAAAACGCCTTCAGCAGGGCATAGAGGCTCACCGTCATAAAATACCGCCAAAAAAAAAGAACTTCGTCGTTTTCATGGTACACGAAATTGACAAGTGAATACCACCCTCCAAATAACTTTCTAGTTTTCTATAGAAGACCTCGTTCAAATCACCAAAAACTTGAGATATACTCTCTTACCACGTGGAGGCCAAATCTTTGTTTCTGAGAGTACGGAGCCCGAAATAACTGCATGGAAGACAATGCGAAATCTTCATAAGTGGAAGCCAGTGTACGCTGGCTGCTCACAGCTCGGTGTCAGTTCCCTTGCACGTCTTCTATCAATGGCACTTAACATGCAGAAGGGATGTCAAATAGGACGAACATGCTATTGCCTATTTTGTGTCGTCCTAGAACCTGTACAGAGTATAAAGCGATGCTCATGCAACGCAATACGCTCTACGCGAACTCCCTCGTGCGCGTGGAGGAAGTTGCAGCCAAAGGAGTCTGCATTTGCCGCTGTTTTTATTGAGACACCCCTTAGTCTCATCACACTTATTATGAACCGTCTATTCAAAACGTCTTTCGCTAGGAAAGTCACTTTCGTCCTGCGGCGAAATTCCATATATAGGCGCTAGACTGCGTTTTGGCTCCCCTAACAATGCGCCGGCTAAGAGAAAGCTGAGCGGGAACTTTTGTACAGACATCAAAAATGGCTAGCCAAACCTCAATTGTATACACATCTTGTGTTATGATGTGCGCTGAGTGGAACGTTGTGGAAACGTCAAAGGTTTTTACTTCACTGATGCTGTTGCCCATACAATCCATGCCATTTGTTTGTTTCATCTCCTCTGTGCTAGAGATTTATTTTTAGAATGTGTATGCACACGGAGCTATGAAAGTCAACATGTATAGTCTCCAGAGGCTATGAAAATTCTGAAAAATAAAATAGATTTTTCAGCTGTTCATCATGTTCCCGTTTTTATTGCGTAACAGCGCCTCCACAAAGAAAAATTAGGTGCAGAAGTGTTCCTTCAAGCGAACTTGGCGTGTTTCTGTTCTCAGCAAAGAATCGTGTTGCTTGTCCATTTGCGTAACAGCAAAAAAGGCGAAGTCTCTGAATAGCGATATATATATATATATATATATATATATATATATATATATATATATATATATATATATATATATATATATACGCATGTGTGTGTGTGGTATACGTCCGCATACATAAAAACAATCAAGAGCATACATACAAAACAATTCTGGCTACACCGGGCTCAACCATTGAGAATTTTCATCAGCTGCTTACGCGAGGAGAAAGAATGCAAAAGCGATAGCAGTACTTTCAGTGTTGAACAGCAGAGGTGAAAAAAAAATACTTTTCGGACTTTTTTAGAGGTACGAATTTGCCATTTCATTCATGATGCCCGCTTCTTTGGTCATATCAA